AATGTTGTGATTTGAATTTTAGAATGTTATGATTTGAATTTTAGAATGTTATGATTTGAATTTTAGAATGTTATGATTTGAATGTAAAATGTTGGGACTTTGATGTTTAGAATTTATAGTAGGCGACTAAACTTATCAGTAGAGGGTATAGTGGGTTTCATCACTGAGCGCTCATCCTTCTTATCAAAGCACAAGCACCTTGTGTTTGTCTCAAATGGGCATTTAAAATAATTGTTTGCACAAACGAAATCCTGTAAAAAAAAATCTAACTAAAAATTCCCTGCCCTTTGGTGCACCCGAGAAGCCCAACGTGACTAACAGTCACATGACGAAAGCATGGAAATATCTATAGTTTGTAATATCCTCCATGTTTTTCTAGGTTTGGGAACAAATGTGGGCACTTGGAAAAATGTTGATTACAGTTTTTTTATTTTCATTTTTTGTACATTACATTACCTTTTTGTGATTTGTGATGATGTAACTGCACAGAAGACATTTTGGAGTTGTCCCTACATCTAACCATAGTTGTGCTGTTTTCATAGATGTGCAGGATTTTATAGTGCAGTTTAAAATGAATGAGTAAAAATGTGACAGAAGTGGAAAAAAAAAAAAAAAGATGCCCAGAAACTGGAGTTTACATGGTTTATTTCTGCCCTGTCTGTATTGCACACACGCACCCATCTTAACACATAAATAACACTTCTGTATTTGATATTTATTCACAGAGACACCCCTAAGGCCTTTGCAGACTACGCCAGACTTTGCTACAGAGAACTCGGGGCCCATGTGAAGATGTGGATCACCCTGAATGAGCCCAATGATGAGATGGTGAGCTACCAGGAGGGCCATCAGATGCTGATTGCTCATGCTATGGCCTGGCACGTGTATGACGACGAGTTTAGACATTCACAGGGAGGACAGGTCAGTAATGCTGCACTGTTGATGTCTTTCTTTACATGTGTACATTTTGTGTAATTATTTAGGCGTCATTGTTTTATATATGTTTGCTTAAATGTCACACTTAAAGAAGTGATCTGCAAGATACTATTTTGTCATTTGATTTCTTACAATAAGGAGTCTTTGTTGTTTGCATCAGTTCCCATCAATTATTTCACATTCAAACAACTATTTGTTTCAAGTACAGCAACATTTTTATAAATCAGACATTACCTTTGAAGGACTTTGTATGTAGGATGATTTTTTTTTACCTGTTTGTGTCGACTCTTGCTGCTTGTTCTGTTTCTGTTCATTCCAAGCAAATGACTCTTTTTCTGATGTAGCAGAAGTAATGACAACATAACACTTCACTGTGCACCGGTACACTTGACCTGTTTAAATACAGTAAATGTGAAATTTCTCACCTCATCAAATGCTGTGTCGTCTCAGGTGTCTCTGGCTCTGCACATGGACTGGGTGGAACCAGCATTTTCTTTCAGCCGAGAAGACGTGGAGCCGGCTAAAAGGGTGTTAGACTTCTTCGTTGGCTGGTTTGCAGAGCCCATCTTCGGCAGCGGGGACTATCCTCTGGGAATGAGGAGCTGGCTGCGTCAGCTCAACTCACTTGAGTACAGAAACTTTGTTCACACCTTAGTACATTCACTTTGACAGCTGTAGAAGATGCATCACAGTGCAAAAACATGAACACATCATGACGCCTGTCATTTGATGTACTGATGTGTTTCTGGTTGTAAGGGTTGGATTTATACTGGCATTATTCAAAGGTGTAACATAGTGGGAAATAGGTGTGGATTAGTATGGGACTGTTGAAAAGTGTATATTTTATTGTATATTTTTTTTGAATTATACCTGCTAAACATCAGCGTGTCAACATTGTAGGTGTGAGTATGTTTGCGTGCTGGTGTTGGCATCTCCATCAAAGCACTACAACACATTTACATTTTTTTTCACTTTTGGCTAGGAACACTTCTCTCACTCTCCTGCAATATCACCAACACTAACACAAAAATCTACTTAATTTTCACAATAATAGATTGTTGATGCTCTAAGTCTTGATTCTGATCACATTGCTGAAACCAACAATGGCTGGAATTCAGTTTTAAAGCTTTGCAATCAGTGTAAAGCATTCACAGTTAATAGGGCAAAGCCAAAAATAACGAGCATGTACTTCTTAAACACTACTGTTTTACCGTCTCCTGTTTAAATGGCCTATTTTCTGTGTTTGTTTTGACAGCTTGCCAGTTTTCAACGAGAAGGACAGACTGCTGGTTAAGGGGACATATGACTTCTTTGCTATTAGCCACTTCAGTACCAAGCTGGTGACTCACGCCAAGGAAGACTCGTAAGAAAAAAATCAAATTGTACCTTTGATTTGATACTGACAGAAGTCACACAGACAAAAAAAAAACCAAATAGGAAGAGAGACATGCAATAAAAAGTATACAGCTCAACCACTACTGCTCAGGAAACCCTCCACTGTAACTTTATGAGGACGTTCAAGTTATTTTAGTTACAGATGGACAATAAGATATTATTGTTGTTGTTTGTTCTGTATCATGTCCACGTCTGCAGTTACACCTACAACGTAATGCTTGAGGTCCAACACATGATCGACACCACATGGATCACGTCTCCGTGGCCTGTAGTGCCCTGGGGCCTGAGGAAAGCCCTCAACTGGGTAAGACTGGAGGGATCTGTGCCACAGATTGTTTAGATGGTTGTGATGCAGACTGGCGTTATCTCATCTTTTGAAGAATTCAAAAGTTGAACATTGACCTAATTGTGCCTTATGTAAATGTGTTTTTTTCTTCTTGTGTCTAGCAGTTAAGCATTTTTAATCCAAATAGATAAAAACCCTCAAGTCAGTTGTTGTACCAGTGTAAAAAACTTTGCAAGGCAGTTTGGAAATCTTAAAAAAAAAAAACAGACATTGCTCTTTGTACGTAAGGTGAAGGAGCACTACTCTGATGTGCCGGTGTACGTGATGGCTAATGGAGTGCAGGAGGACCCAGCTCGCTTCAAAGACAGCCTGAGAGTGTATTATCTGTACAACTACATTAATGAAGCACTGAAAGGTGAGAGTACAAACACACACATGTTGCTGCTGAGATTTTACAGGATTAATGCAGTGCGCTTGAATATTAATATTGCTACAGTTGTGTACTAAGTGATCAGTCCTTCACAAGTGACGTTTCTCCCCCTCCTGGCCTCTATAAAGTTTAATTATTAGACAGGTGTTTAGGTCACTGACCCCTGAATAATCAGCTGACTCCGAGTACATGTATTTGCAAACACAAACATCAACAGAGATACACACTTGACACTAAAGTGCTGAGTCACGGGTACTTGCTGCCCAGTGACCTTGCTTTGAGTGACACTCAGTGAGGACCCTGGTACTTTGAAACCTTGCAGTGTTGGGTTATGATGTACACATGGCGTCATGTTTTTGTGTGTTGTAGTGTACACTTTCACCACTAAGTGGCAACAATACACAGAATATATCTTGCATTAAAAAGAAGCACTGTAGGCAGCTGCAGTGAAGGATCCAGTGCTGCTGGTTGTATCCTAAAAAAAAAGCAGGAAATGGGCTCGAAGGTCTTTTAAAAAAAAAAAAAGTAAAATCTGAATTTCTTGATACACTTTAGCCGTGATAACTTCCTCTTACTTTCCACTGAGTCTTTGACCTGTTCAAGCTGAGTATAAGGTACTAGCTTACAAGCTGATTCTGACTTGAAGAAAATAAAAACAAAACAAAGTTAATGTTAATAAATCTGAATTGTTGTGACATATTTTGTAATAGCTGTGACATTGTGTATCATAAATACAGGTCATTTTCCATAAATAGCATTGTGTAATAAACATTTTGTAGATGTGAATAATATTTCTTAAACTAATGCCACAAATAGGTTGAGATGTGCTAATCAGTTGCATTATGTCAGTGCTTGTCCTTTCATCAACTTAAGCGATGATTTTCAGTCTTCAAGCACAAGCTTTACATAGTATACATTGTTTTGGTCACACTATTTTAACATCAGACACATCACAGCCATAAGCAGTACATTACCATTTAACTCTCTGAACCACAACCAGTTTTGACTGTCACGTATGTACTCACTGTGGCCTCATTTCTTTTCACTACAAGATAAAATCCTGCACCTCTATGGAAACAACACAACCATGTCTAGAAAAAGAGAGAACTCAAAAGTGTCTCCAGTGCAGTATGGCAGAATTATAATGACCTCAATTATTTTAAAAAATCTTTATTTTACAAACATTGAAAAACCCTGGAATCAACATCAGCATCATTTTTCCAAGTGCCCACACGTGTTACTCATACTGGGAAAAAAATGGAGGCTTCACATGCTATTAATATTTAACATGTTACATTTTCAGTGTGTTTCCTTGCTTGTCCCCCATCGGGCCTGTGCAAACACAGTCCCTGGATTTTTGTCACTTGACTACTGGTCACAGTGGAGTCAGTTATGGGTGTTTAGTTTTGTCAATAAACACAAAATGACATGTTATACAGAATCTGATCAAGGAAAACTATTTTTGACAAATAAAAAAAAGCACATGTAGGATAAAGTAATTTTAATGAAATATCATAATTTTAAGCTTAGATTTGGTTAATATTGCAGATGGAACTGTACATCACAGATGATTAGTTGAAGGACCATCAGAAAATTAAAAATGTGCAGATTTTATCTGTTTTTACAGTTTCTGACTGATAAAAGGTGTCATTTTGGCAGTATTTTATTTATTTATTTTTAAAGATAAGATGCTTTTTAAACATGCCTGACAGGCTTCGGAGGTGTAACGGGTTAATTAATCTTAATATCTTTTTCCAAATATTTAGCCTTAAACGTCAAATCTAACTTAATGAATGTAAAACATATCCCTATCTGAGATATTAAAATAGTTAAAAATTAAGAATATCAATGAACAAATTTCCTATTCTTATGTGTTCTCTGTTTATACACAACTGATAGATGATAAATGATGTGGGGTTTAAAGGTACAACGCAACATCCAGCCCACTATCTTACCTTTACAAGCACATACAAGTAAATGAGAATCAGTATTAAACATCTCTCCTGTTCTGTTTCCCCCCCCTCCGTGCACAGCGTACACTCTGGATGGTGTAAACCTGAAGGGTTACTTTGCCTACGCCCTGAGTGACCAGCGGGACCCTGGATTTGGCTTGTACGGCCAAGTCCACGAAGAGGTCATCGACAAGGCCTCTCTCTCCAACTATCGCAACATCATCCAGCATAACGGCTTCCCCCTTCAAGGAGCTACACCCCAGCAGTGTCCCAGTTTGCCTCAGCCCTGCCTGGGCTGCCACATTCTCACCAAGAGGCCTGTGGTGGGCTTCCTGACCCTGGTAGGGTCAGGAGTACTGATCACCTTGGGCCTCATTATTTACTATTCGTCCAAGAGACACAAGGAGTGTTACTGATCATCAGGTTTGTTCTGTCTCTTTTTTTTATAAAAGACTCTTAAAAGAAACTGTGCCAAGTTCCTGTGAAGTTTTATCTGTAATAATTAGTGTCAGATGTGGTCTGAATAAGGAAGTGGTCCAACTAGGCACACATTTTAGGTGTTTTAACTAAATGTCATGTAAAGTTGGTGTAAATGTGTTACAAAACATGCTACGGACCTTGTAAAGAGTCTACTGCATCTACATTTGTTTTTAGAATATTGTGGAGAGATTACTGTAGAATAACAGCTACCAGTTATCCTTTTTTTCACTAATGCACTAAGACAAATGGTAAACAGATTAGTTGTACCATGAGGGATTATGAAGTAGCTGAATTACAATGACAAATGAAGCTGCACAGATATTTTAAGTCTGCTGTATGTGACCGTATCAAGAAGTCTGACGCTAATTTAATTCTACCTTTAAGTCACATAAACATTTAACATTATAAGAGGTGAACTGTCAACATCTTACATACATGTAGTAAATTATTTTAGAAACATGACAGAAAGTGCACATAATCAATTTTTTCCCGATGTGTTATTCTCACCTGTTTGTTCATATGTCCTTAGATTTCAACAGATGTCAAAATTATAAACTTGCACAATGTGTGTTTTCACTCAGCCTGGAACTCTGCCGATGTCTCCAAACCACCTTTCCATACTGTTGACCAATGTCACGTGTTGCATCCTTGTCAAGCTAATTGTTTTGAATTCAGGGCCAAAGATGCAAAAAAAAAAAAAAAGGTCAAAAAGTGCTATGGCAAGAATCCTGTGTTGCGTTTGTTCATTGTGATAAATTCTACATTTGGTTGTATCAATAGAACAAGCTCATCACACTTTCAATATGCTGTAAACAAAGTCATTTATTGTAATGTTCTTATGTAGATTTTTTTTTTTTTTTTGGAGAACGTCTCTAAATCTTGCAGCATATTTTAATACAAATCACCATGTGCCATTGCCTCTATCTGGTGTTCTACAGAATTTTTCTTATATGTTACACTACTAGAGCAACAGTTCCAAGTTTACAATACGTGTACAGTGCTGAGGTTCTGAGCGACAATCACTGTGAGACTCATTCTGAGTGTCACCACAATGCCTGACAGAACACACATGTAAATCTGTCTCAAGTCCACTGAAAGTCATGCCGGAGCAAAAAGAGAGCTATTATGACATAAATGAGTGCTGTTGAACTCCCGTCAAATAAAGGATAGGTACTTTAGTCCATTCAAAGTCAAAACATCATAGCATCCAGGCCGTCTTCCATGAACTTCTTGTAGATAGCCATGAACTTTGCGACGAAAGCCTCTAGGTGGAAGATAGCTTTGTTGCCCAGCTGTAGTCTGTGTTCATAGTAGGCTGCCATGTGGGACACCTCCGTCTTCAGGTGGCCATCGCAGTTACTCAGCAGTTCTTTTACCAAGCCCTGTGAGATGTTTGGACAAGGAAAATTAATATTCATTCCCTTAAACAGTTTCAATACTTTGATGGGGGATGATATGTACAAAGTACCTTCATGATAATCTCAGGAGGGATGCAGTGAGTCAGCAGCTCATACAGTCTGCCTCGGACTTCCATCAACCTGGAACAGAGACAGATGGGGGTTCAGCATTAAAATATCTCCACAAGTCTGATTAACTTTCCTTTGTCTCCGACAGAACCAATTAAACCTCGTCTTCTCGCTCTTTGCCTTTCCTACCTCTGAGGAGTCTGCAGGCTGACGATGGCATTAGCCGTTTCTCTGAGGTAGACCTCCCAGTCTGTCTCTGGGACGTCTTGATCCACTGAGAATGGATACCTGGAAAAGATGAACATAGGCTAAATAAGTAAATACTTGACGCTAATCCACAGATAACTCAGTGGAAAAAAAAATCACAGTATGTCTGGTCACAACTTACTGCTGCACTCTGCAGGCCTCGCACATCAGAAGGGCTTTGCGGAGGTTGCGACCAGACTTCTCACTGATTTGTTTGGCCAGCTCAGGTGGGAGGAGCAGGCCCTCCTTTTTACAGACAGATGTGAGAACACTACAGACCTGGAAAACAGAGACAAAGAAGGCAAATGTTGTAATAAGCTTGACACATGTGTTCCATAAAATGCACATTAGTAATAATCTAAACCACAACCTCTCCCTCTTACCTCTTCTGTGCTCGGCAGAGGAACTCTGATAGCCAGACAACGGCTCCGAATGGGTCCAATGACTTTGGAGGTGGAGGTAGAGTAGAGGATGAGACGACATGTGGCCATGTACTTTTCCATTGTACGACGCAAAGCATGCTGGGCATCCTTCGTGAGTCTGTCCACCTCTGTTAGCAGCACCACTGAGGAGAAAAGAGTGCCAGTTACTCCAAGAGTGATATTATGGCTCTACAGAGCCAGTGACATCTGGGAAAATTAGTTCATACAGCAATGGTGATAAAAGTACAAGAACAATTAAATAACCATATGTTTGTAAGACATACACTTCTGTCTGTTAGTGCAGTTCTAACATATGGAGCGGCAGTCAAAGGCTAAACTGGCACAAAGGCATATTTTTCTCTTCTACCTTTGAACTCTCTCTGGGTGCTTGACTGGATTTGCTGGGACTGAGCCACGGTTTTAATCAGCTCTTGAATTACCACACGGTCCTGGTTTCCTGCGTCACTGTACAACACAGAAAAAGGAGTACTTAAGTCTCATAACATGTAACGTGACATCTCAACCAAAAGTACTTCTCAGTAAGATCTTAATCTGCAGAGTACCAGTAACTACAGTAGTCATATGTACTGGAGGAAGTCAATGCGGTGTATAAAGCAGCAGAAACTACAAGTAAGTTACCTTGGGTTGACTTCCAAGTGATAGTTGCTGGCTATTGTGTTGATCTCAATTTTCTTCTTTGAGGGAGCCTGGAGTCAAAAACCAGAAACCAGTGATGCAACTAAAGATTGGATCATAAAGATTGGCAGCAGATATGACAAGAGCCACAACATGTGAGTGGTGCTTTGGAAGACAAGTATGACCCTGCATTTCATGTTTTCCGTTCTCACCACAATGCTCTGGTGCTCTATGCGAAGCTTCTCCACTCCTGCTCCATACAGCTCCCTCAGCAGACACATGATGCGGGTCTTCTTCCCTGCGCCTGACGGACCGTACACCAGCAAGTGGGGGAAGTCGCCACACTGAACCTGAAGCACACATTCACAAAGAGGTTTTGGTTCTTTGGAAAAAGTTTGTTTTGTACTGTGATATATTCTCCAAACCTGCCAGTGATATACAGGCTCTCAGCTACAAATAAGTAACAAAATAAAGGAAAAACTGAGATAAAGTTGGGTGACCAGAACAGCTGTAATGCAACTTGGCATAAATTCTCCAAGTCACTAGACTCTACCCGAGGGATGAACACCATCCTTCCACAAAATATTCCCCAATTTGGTGTTTTGCTGATGGTGATGGAGAGCACTGTTCAGCAAAGCTACCCAGATATTAACTATTGAGTTGAGATCTGGTGACTGTGAAGGGCATAGCACATGATTGACATAATTTTCATACTCATCAAACAATTCTCATCAGGATATCAACATGATAACGAGCGCCATGAGCAATATCTAATAAAACACGTTAACGTTACCTCATAACACGTTTGACACTTTAATACTGCTGACTGAAACAAGCTAGCTTAACTCTGGTGGTTGTGCAAATGATTTTTTACAAGTAAATGACCAAAACAACTCAAGAAACCACCTGTCTTAGTACAGAGCTAATCTAAACTCGTTATTATCTGACTGATGCTAATGCTAACCTGAATAAACAGTTAGCACGCATGAGTTAGTTTTCCTTCTTACCAGGTTTTTCAGCTGAGCCGCTTGTTCTTTATGAAAGTCCAGTTTCCCGAGGGAGGTCGGACGATACTTGTCCACCCACAAACTCATTGTGTTATAAAGTTAGTAGAAGTTAAAGTCCGTGTTGACAGTTGACAGTCCGCTGCTAGCTGCTCTCCCGCGAAATACTATTCACACATACCCGCGCGCTGTGGATGCTTCCTCCCGAGCTACGGGGAGTCGAAGGAGTCAAAACTGCTGAAGGCGATTCGAAAATCCACCTCCACGCCATGAACACTCCCAAACTGTGAGTACCTTAACAAATCGTGCTTTGCATCGTTACGTGGCATCAAGGCGCTTTAAATCTGCAGTCTGACTGAATTATGTCATGCATTTGTTTAATGAAGCATTTTAGCAGCTTTATTGTTAGTTTTACTGCAATTAGCAAATCGCAATAGCTGTCAGAACATACAGCTGTGAGCAAAAGTTTACACTTATAAAGACCATATGTATCACAGCAGTGTTGCATTTCCAATGACTCCTATAACAATTAATTTTTAAGATGAAATCCTTGAAACAAATAAGTCACAAAAAACAATCATGCATTTTGGTTCCTTCATAGATTTGCTATAAGTCTACTGGAAATATGACAAAATCTGCTGAGTCAAAAATATACATGCATCAACTTGAGCTATCAGTTTGGATGCTATAGAAAGTTGCCTTAATCAAATTTTCAGACTTGTTTCTTTAGCACAGACCACAGGTCCTGGGGGTTTAAGTCAGGACATTGGGAAGGTCAATCTAAAACCTTACTTCCAGCCAGATTTAACCATTTCTTTACCACTTTTGATGTGTGTATGAGTCATTGTCTCCTGCCCGACTGTGGTCAAGACCCAACCTTTTGACTGATGATTTTAGGTTTTCCTGGAGAATGTGGAGGTAATCCTCCCTTTTCATTATTCCATTTACGTTGTGAAACAGAACAGCCCCGGATCATAATACTACCACCACCATGCTTGACAGTAGGTGTGGTGTTTTTGGGGCTACAGACCTACTTCTTTTCTCTCTCCTCTCCTCATTGGAGGACTCAAGGCTGTCGCAATGTACGTGGTTTTTATAGGCGTAAGTAAACTTATGTTCACATCTGTACACGATGCAGCCTGTCTGATCCAGGGTTTATTTGTTATGATTCTTACTTTATTTAACTTGATTGCAGAATATGGAATACTTAGATGCATTTCCTCAGCTATGACTGACTCAGATGTTTACAGAAAGGTCCTCTTATCTATTTTCTTATTGAAATTATTATTTATTATTATTATCATCAGCTTTTGTGATAATTGTGTTTAAAGCAATTATAACTTAAAATTCTTATTGTTGCATGATAATATAGAGCAGATAATATTTTGATGGTGTCTCATGTGGGGATAAATAGTTGAATTCTGTGGTGCTTCAGCTTCATAGATGTCCATGAAGTTCTTAGAGTCACTGTCAGTATCTTTTGTGATGAAATATGTCTTATGACTCTCCAGCAGTCAACAAGAGATGACCTTATCACTCTTATGTGACTCCAGGTAGATGTTTGTGTGTATATGACCCAGGGCAGCACTGGATAAGATTTGTGTTGTTGAGAGAAAGCTCGAGAGAGAAGGAGGAGGAGGAGGGATGAAGGATAGCATCTTTTCAATGAAACAGTCTGATGCCACAAAGGAATGTGAGACAGTTAATCCCATGCGACAAAAGCTTGCAATGTCACCATGCTGTTGTGCTATAATGAAAAGGGTCTGGCTGGTAGCTGGAGCTATGCAAAAAGAAAACAAAGTTAAAATGTTGCACAAAATCCATTTACGCTGACATACAAAGAACAAAAACTCCCTCACCGGGCAAGGAAGTGCGGTATTTGTAATTCCACCTTTTCTGTCATGCAGTGAGTTGGAAAGGACATTTTTCTTCTCTTATCTGACGGAATGCACGAGAATGTTTGTCGTCAAAATTAGGCTATTTTGTCTTTCATATTTGTAGTTACATTACACACTGTCAAGATAACACAGCTTACATAATTCAGTATAAATGCAGTAGTGTTTTTATCTTTTCTTCAGCTACTCTTCATGGATGTTTTATGTGTTTTCCATCAGTGGAAGTGATTTGTACAGTTACAAAGACGGTCGTAACAAACCTCAGCTGTTACTCATTAGGATTTTTTCTTTTCTCTAAATGATTTCTTCAAACTCTTTGTTTTAACCCATCAAATGTCACCTTGTCTTCCGTTCTCTGCTCTTCTCACCTCTTATTTTTCTTGGACTTTTCTTTCCTTCCACCTGAACCAGGTAGCTGTACGTCTCTGTGACAGGAATGTTACATACGAAGCATGTCTTGGCAGGTTAGCGTAGCGTGTATTGAAATCCATGCTAGAGTTTTATTAATATACAGTAGATCAATCATCACAGCGCTGTAACAGCTGGGGCCTATTCATCAAGTTCCTCCAAACAAGATGACTTTTATTAACGTGAAGTCCATTTACAAGTTCAGTTCAACTTCTGTGAATTAGTGTGCTTTTATTATAGCTTTGATTTGGCATCAACTGATATTAGTAGTTTTGATTCCCCTGTTAGATCAGAAATTCATTTTAATGGTGGATTTGGTCAAAAACACAGAAATAGATGTGCCACAAACTTTCCTCTTGAGACTGTCGACCTCCAAGCAGCTGAAAAATACAGTACACATCATGATAAGCTGTGAGTTATCATGATAATTATCCTATTAGGACAACTCTAATATGTCCTATAAAGAGCTTTAGTTAATATCTTTTTAAAAGCTTTCTGAGCAGTGAGATGTCACTCTGATGAATATATTGCATTACATATTACAGTACATACTATACTCTCAACCTTGACCACGTCTTTTCCTTAAAAGAGCAGGCCTCAACAGGCACAATCATCTCCAGGGTTAATGTACAAATATCAGGCCTTCACTCCTGACTCAATACCTTCCCTCCGAAACGTAAAATTTAGTGTTTTCTGGCGAACTCGAGGAATTCCACAGTCCATCGACAGCTCCGTAAGGACCCTTTAGCTATTAAAGCGCACAGGCTGCTTGGCCGCAGTAACAAGAAGTATGAAGTTATAGAGATTAACAGAGGATAAGAAACGCTTTAAAGCATTACCTCATGTGTTGTGGAGGAATGTGCTTCTGAGGTGAAAAATCTTTCGCCCTGAGCCACACCGTACAGCAATGAGTGAAAAGGAGGAGCGAGGAGGGGAGAAGGGCCCCAAGCCTCTTAATCAAAGTCTGTTTGTCTTAGACTGATGTACGTGCAGCTATGTAATCTGCTTGATCATTTCCACAACAAAACCTTCAGTTTCCTTTGCCTTGAGTGCATAATTTGTCCTTTTCTCGCTCTCCCTCTTACACACACGTGCATTCACATGGAAAATAATCATAGTCATGCTCCACACACACACACACACACACACACACACACACACACACACACACTTACAGAAATAGCACAAACACCTGCTTGTGGCCTGTGCCTGTCTTCATGCTGAGGTAATGTAGGAGGGAGAAGCATTCCTCAGTCATTCTCTCCTCCCCTCGCAGCTCTTCACATCTTTAGCGAAATAAAGTCACTCTCTCTGTATTAGCAGTGTCATGCAGCATGTAAACACTGAGCTGCCTCGGCTGGATACATCGCTCGCCTCCTGGTTCTTCAGCCTGCTGTGTTGGAGCTGTTCTTGGATGATACAACTTCTGCATTAAAATGTCTGGTATGTTGAACTCTAAACTTTGTGTTTCCTTATAATACAGCCTAGTGTTCATGCATGTCTTTTAAATGTTTTTTTTTTAAACAGGACACAGTCACAAATGCTCCTGTTTATACCAGTTATTGACATCATGTAACTAAGTTAGTCATATTTTTTCACATCCCAGTTGACACGTGGGAACAAACGTCTCTTTGTTGGCAAGTGTGTGAAACTTTGTTTTGGTGTTTTACATTTTTTTTCTACCTTTGTTTTGCAGTAATCGGATATTCAGGATTTTAACCTAATTTTAAAACCTCACTGTGTGTTTGAAAAACAAAGAAAACACACCAGGCAAGGAAAGGGTGTGTTGGCTTCAGCCAAAAATAGCGATCTACCAGGAAAAAACAATGTGTTTGAGAAAAATGCATTTGTTTAAAAAAAAAGAAAAGAAAGTCTGACAGCTACAGAGTGGTGGGCTGTGAAGTCTTGCTGGCATGAATCAGTCACATTGGGATTGTTCTGGCCCAATATATCAAATTTTACTAAGTTAACAAAAATTATGGCAAAACACGTTTGTTTTTTTTTAATTTATTTTTTTAAACACTAAATGTCATTTGATTTTACATTGTATATACATTTGTTCTTATAAACAGCTGTTTTTATATTTTATTCTTTTTTTAAATAAATAATGCCAGCGTTTACATCTGCCGTAGAGAGTGACAGAAAGTAACTAAGTACATTTACTCAAGCTCTGTGTTTAGGTACAATGTTTTTGTTCTTTACTTATTTCCATTTCTTTATTACTTCTGTTACACTATATTTCAGAGGAAGATACTGAACTTTATGCTCCACTGTATTTATCCGAGAGCTTTATTTTATCTAAAGATAAAGATTTTATGCAGTAGGTATTGCAACATGCTTTTTATGTAAAGTGCGCTGTTTAAAAGATTAGGACTGTGGTTTCCAAACTGTTTTCCTTCTAACGTCTTGGATAAAGCTGTGTGTAGTCTGGGTCACATTTCACATGTCTAGGAGTTAACAGCTTCACTAAATAACGTTTTTCCCTTCAAACTTCTTACATGGTGTAATTTGGAAATTTGTTCAATGGCCCAATATATCACCAATAAAAGATTACAGTAAAAGTCCAAAAAGTAAAGACAAATTTGCTGCTGCTGTACATAAACCTGTATATAAAGTATTTTAAAGTTCCAGCTGCTGCCACATCAACATGCTGCTGCACACTGATGCTTCAGTGTTAATAATCAGATCATATTTAACAACAAATCAGTCAGAGGAACTAAAGCAGCACTTTTACTTTAATACACTAAATACATGTTGCTGCTAATGCATATATATACTTTTGCTTAAGTGTGATTTTTACTTTGCTGTGTTAGTACTTTCACATAGGCAAAGGATCTTAATACTTCCAACTCTGGCAGTA